TTTCGTAAACTGACTGCTTACTTCGGCTTGCCAAGCGGATAATGTCTTTTTGTAATTGGTCTAATTCCTGTAATTTTTGGTCTCTTTGTTCTTTATATCCAGTTGAGGTTCCACAACCGTGCTTTTTTGTGAATTGTTCAAGAATACAATCATCGAGTTCCCTAAGAGTTTTTTTTCTGTTCCTCCCACACTCAACTTCGGCATGATTAGCGGCCCAATTTATATCGTTGTAATAGTAATAATCCTCATATTTAGTAAAAAATCAATAAAAAGCTAAAAATAAAAAAAATAAACGTAAAATGGCCTTGATAATCTTTTTCAATTTCTGGGTTTGGTTAGATTTCATATAATAAATTTTGTAATTAATAATTAATTTTACCCTTTGGTTTTTTTGTGGTTGAGAAATCAAAACCCCAAGACCACTTTTATTTGAGTATCCATATTTTAGTCGTTTTTTGCGTGGAATTGGAGGTTGTGATTCAGATGACCTTTTTGATTTTCTTAAAATAATTTGGCTAACTTTTTAAACAAAACCAAGCAATAAAAATACCCAAACAAAAGTTATGTTGTGTAGAAAAAATTCTGCCGACTAGTTTTATCTCAACCAAAATAAATAAAAAAGATGAGAAGCAAAAATCTATCAATCCCTATTGCCGAAAACTAAAAATATTTAACCCAAACCTAATTGATGTTGCTTCTAAAAAGGAGGTATGAGAATTGCGGCAACCGAAGTGATTTCTCAGGAAGTTAAAGAAATTTTCGCATTGGCCATTAAAGAAAGCCCTAAGGCAAAATTACTTGACATGAAATATTTTTAGGCTAACAAAATCACTAAATTATGCGACAGGTTGAGAACCTTTGCGTAATTGATTTAGAGCAGCCAAAAACCCGAGAAAGGTTATAAAAAAGTTTCTGAAAAAACTTGAAGAAGACCAAATTTCGCCAGCCAAGAAAGTTTCTTTAATCTGAATGCTAAAATCGGAAAGTGCGCAAAGGAACTTATCACATTTACAACTCCCGAACCCCAACCCACCCCAGAAACTACTTCTTGAACTACGCTTTTTTGAGTAGGCTTTTAGCCCTTATTTATTTTGGTTGAGATAAATTTTGAACTTGATACGAAAAACCCATTAAGCAGGAATGAGCCGAAGGTGAATACAAAGTTGACGATGAGGAGAAAGCAAAACCAGAAGTCAAACCGGAAGAAGAACTCAAACCCGAATCATCGGCAAAGCCGATATCCAAGACCAAATGCAAACGAATAAAAAACTATTTACTAAACAACAAAATAAAAACTTTGTG